ACCAACGATTCAGTATAGAATAAGATTACAACATTAGTAGTGGTTGGAATTAGAATTAAACGTAACTATGAAGTTACAAATAAGAAAGTAACGTGATTGTTTATTAGTAGAGTTTGTAAAACATTTTTGTATAATTCTTTCTCTTATGATAATTATTGAATGATGTTTATTAAAACAATAGTACTTTCTTAGTATAATTATTTGATAAATTATCCAATATACAAACATTTCTTTTATCTACTGCAAATATTCTTTTCACTTACTTTAGATCTAATTTTTCAACTTCAATAATTTTCTTTTGCAATATATGTAACAACTTAAGAAATTTTCAACATAGCTATATGCATAACTATTTACAACAACAAAAATATGTTTAATACTGTTACAATTTTAGTTACTTTTCTATAAACAAAAGAAATAACTCTAAGCATAAATAAGTTGTAATAGAAAATCAATTTTATTTTATGCATTTACGATGCCATTTCACCCATAAATACCTTAAAAATTCTAAATATTTTAATTTTCATAAAGAAAAGCACCTATTATCGTCATTCGATAACACGGCCGTCTATCTTGCCTTTCTAATTTCATACATTTTCAATTTCCCAATCAATTTAAAAACAATTTATTTCGCATATTCAATACGTTCGTCCAATAATTACTAATCAAAAGTTCATTCCCATATTTATCATAATTGGGGCCAAATGTATAGCTAATCAAGTGATTTTCTCTTTCGCCGTTTTTCGTCGTTCTATAGAATCTTTCCCTTCCATTCATAAATCACAGACGACGTACAGGATAAACCTAAATAGCATCTTATTAGATTTTGTGTCCGCGGCACAAAAGTCGAGAAGACCCTTACCATTTTCATGTCGCTCCCAACGTTACCGATTCAGCATAGAGTAAGATTATAACCACAGACAAGGTATAGGGTAGACCTATCACCTAATGTGTTTTTATGTCTAACGTTCTGAAATACCGATAGTGTAAAATATCAAAGGATTTGTTATGCCCTTTACGGTATAAAGCGGTGAGTTTAAGAATTATATACAATCCAACCATCAAAGATGGTAAAATCGGCAAATATAAAAAGTCCTCTTTTATTAAATTTGCATGTGAAGATACATACATATATTGGATTGCGTGTGTAGAATTGTTTACGATCTTTTGACAGCAGTAGAACACGCGCATGTGATGAACCATCTACTAATAAACAAGTACGTTACTTTTTTATTTGTAATTTCATAGTTACGTTTAATTGCAATTCCAACCACTACTAATGTTGATATCTTATTCTATACTGAATCGGTAACGTTGGCAGCGACACAAAAATGGTAAGGTCTCTCTCG